CAGAAGGAACAATGTGTGAGTTGGCTCAAGGTAGGAAGATTATGACTCATAGACTGGAAGGAAGGCCGGGACAGCTGACACCCGGAGCATAAGAGAAAGGATTCTTTGTTTTGTCTTGTCTTTGAGTCACGATGGTAGATTAGATCGTAAACTTGATTTTAGACACGTTAAGTTTGAAGTGTTCTGTATACGTGTGAGACAGTTAAATATAGAGCTCGAGAGCAATGACTCTAAAACTAGGGATGATTCCTCCCAGTCCAGGGTATATTTGCCAAGGTGTAGAGACATTCTTGTTGTCACAGTGCAGCATGGAATTGCTATGGCCTGTGTATAGACATCTCCCCAAAAACCTCATGCAATTGTAGGTGGGGCTTGTTCGGAGGTGACTGGATCTAGAGTGTATGATGCTGGGATTGCTTCATGGTACAGGGCCAGGATGAGGGAACTAGGATTAAGAGCGTGAGTGCTGCCCACCTTGAGTAGCCTGAATAACACATAAGGGGTAGAAAGAGCTGTGGGCACCCCTGTTTCCTTTTGCCACCTTCTGCCTGCCATGAACCGTTGCCCCTCTGTAATGGCTGTCTGCCCCACCACCCTGCCTCGAAGCCAGCCAATTACGGGTTAAAACCTCTACACACTGTGTGCCAAATAAACCTTTCCTCCCTGAACTTGTGCTTGGGTATTTTGTCTCAGCAATGAGAGAAAAGCAACTAAAACAGGAATGTTACTCGTACCTAGTGGGTAGAAGCCAAGGAAGATGCCACACACTCTACAATACAAGGACAATCCTAAATGGCAGTAGTGTCAAAGATGAAGAGCTGTAGTTCTCAGATATTTCAGAATCATTGGCCAAATGCCTGGGGCATTAATGAAATAATATAGAGAAAAAATGAGAGTAGTAAGGAAAGTAGGATAGTAGAAGTTCTTGAAAAACGTTAGCACATAATGACTAATGATTCCAACATAAGAGACTAAGAAGAAACAGACAGGAGCAAGAGGGAAACGCAAAGAATGTGGAGTCTGAGTTAGGGTGGGCACCTGAGCAAGAGCACTGGGTGTCACTGGAAGGCCAAAGCAGGTGCGACTTGGAAATGTCCATTGCACTTCAGGATGCTGGATTAAAATAATTCTGTGTTCGAGGCAATAAGAAAACTGTTTATTCTGAACTAAAGATGAGTGGCCATGCCCTGAGAACAGAGACTCATGGTATCCTAACTTAGATGTGGCAAACTTACTTGAGCTTTTATAGTCACAGAAAGTCATAAGTCAGCATATTTACCAATTACATGGGGGGGCATTAGGTAGGTGGGGAACAACAAGACAGAAATGAATACTATTGGATTCAGGTGTTATCCTATAGCATTTTTAGGGTTAGGAGTGATGGAGGATAGAGGTCTCTTAAGCCTAGCTGTATGTTCCAAAGTTCTAGGCGAAAGTCTCAAGGATGTTAGGTTGGAGGTTAACAGTAAATGACTATTAAAAGAGGCAAAAGATAGGCCATGATAAAAGTGTAGCATTCCATCTCTCCACTGTCAGAATGTTCTAGCTAGCCAAGGTTAAATAGTCTATGAGCTCTTGAAAATAGATGTGACTTCTTCAGAGAACTTCAGTTCATGGGAATGTAAAGGGCACTGTCAGATTAATGGCATGGTATTAAGAAAAGACAAGGGCTGGCCAGATAGCTCAACAGACTAACATGTCTGCTTCAGTAGGTGCAGGGACCAGGGTTTGACTCCTGGCATGCAATGCTGGCCCCACCCCCAAGGCACACTGAGACAGCAACTGAACTGGGCATGGTGGCATGCACCTGTAATCCCAGCGCTTGGGAGGCTGAAAACAGGAGAATAGCTACAAGTCCTATCTGTGTAGTGAGACCCTGTTCTAAATACATTAAAGAAAAGAAAAGACAGATTGCACTGGGTGGAGGACTGAAGGCAAGGTGGAAAATGAAGGTGGCTGATATACGCAGTGCCTGTGAAAAGCTTGGCGGTACAGGGAGGATGAAGAGGGCCAAGAAAAGGGAGGATGAAGAACTGTGCTTTTCTAATGTTGGAAATGTTCAAATACATATAAAGTTGAGCAGATCACTGTAGTGGACATTTATGTGCCATGGACTCTGTGGACTCTGGATTCTGTTTTATTTGTTTCTCCAAAGTATTGTTTATTCTAGGAGCATTAACTGGATTCCAGTTCCCAACTCCTAAGTCTTCTTGTTGGCAGTAGCTGGAATCTCCACTCAGTTCTTGCAGGTTCTGGCTGCAGCTCTTTCATCACGCACCCTGGAGAGGCGTGGGTTAACGGTCAGCCACTGGGCTTGGGCAGCCCATGCTCCTGCACCTGGGAACTCATCACCCAGCAGTGCTTCACTTCCAGAATTCTCCCCCTTCATTTTCCCACTCTATTCTGTGACTCCTTAAGGTAGTCAGACCTTGGCTTTCTGCTACCCCAGATTGATTGCATACTGGTGGCCTCAGGCGAAAAACTTCAAATCTCAAGATATGACTCATGGCCGGGGAGATGGCTCAGTGGGCTAAAGCACCTGCTTAGGCAAGCTTAGGCAAAGGGCTGGGACCATGTGGATTCGATCCCCAGCACTACATGCCACTCCAGCACCATGCCCAGGTGGGCTAAGCCAGCCATGAAAGAAGAAAGGAAGAAAGAAAGAAGAAAGAAAGAAAGAAAGAAAGAAAGAAAGAAAGAAAGAAAGAAAGAAAGAAAGAAAGAAAGAAGGAAGGAAGGAAG